TCGCATTTAATCCGCCTCACTCATTTGATTTTCATTGTTTTTTTCTTCTTCTTTCCACGCCATCTCCACCGGATTTTACTGCATTTGGCTGGCCGTCACTCGTTTACGGCATATAGACTTGGGCGGGGTTGGGAGGGCGCGGCATGATGAGATAAGTGTCGTTGATACCGTATAAGGACCATGAACATGGTGTACAGTACTCTGCCTGAAGTGGCGCGAGGCACATGGCCTCCGGGGCCAGGTTTTCGTCCTTTGTGCTAGGCAGTCGTCTCGGCTTAGTTGTTCAAAATTGATACTCTTACTGGTTCATGTGCGCGAGGACATCTGGGGTTGTAGATTTGCATGTAACCCAGCAACTGAATGATTGCTTAAGCGAGATCCGCCAGACAAGGCTTCTCCAATTCCCTTTTCGAATTGTGCCTGTGAACGTCTATTTAAGACCAGGTGGTAGTGCTGGCCTATTTGTGCACAGCTCCCTTGCTGTCGGGCGGTATCCCTAGCATCTGAAAAGGGGGATTTGTAGGGCGCGCGAGGGCTACCTGGGCAACAGTATTACCTAAGCCCCGCCGCGTCTCCAGCCCCAGCTTAACGCGTTGCAGCCCATTAAACCCACATCCATTTCGCGTGTCAATCGCGTCGCCCCTAGCTAGAGTGCTTTCTTTTGCTTGTCCCGCTCACCCCTCGATTGCTCCTCCCTCCAACAACATCTTCAGAACCTCTCTACTACCACATCACTCCTCCCGCCGATTCCGACACTTTTCGATCCAGTCGACCTCTTTGATAGCCTTCTTTTCAGCACATCACACACTGACAGTATGACTACCCCTCGCTCGACCTACCCCGCCCCGAGCCGGAATTAACAAGTCGTCTCAGAAATGTTGGAAGCGAAGCTCGAGCAGGCGGACATCCTGAAGAAGGTAAATATCCGCTGTTTCTCTATTGTGCTTCCCGACTTGCTAACGCGTATCTCCCAGGTCGTTGACGCCATCAAGGACCTGGTCCAAGACTGCAACTTCGACTGCAATGACTCTGGTATCGCGCTCCAGGCCATGGACAACTCTCACGTTGCCCTGGTCTCCATGATGCTCAAGGCCGAGGCCTTCTCTCCCTACCGATGCGATCGCAACATCGCGCTCGGCGTCAACCTGACCTCGCTCACCAAGGTCCTGCGCGCCGCCAACAGCACTGACCAGCTCACTCTGAAGGCCGAGGACGCCCCGGACAGTCTGAGCCTCACATTCGAGAACGGCAGGACCGTTTCAGCGAGTACGACCTCAAGCTCATGGACATTGACCAGGAGCACCTGGGCATTCCCGATACGGACTACGCCGCGACCATCACCCTGCCCTCCAACGAGTTCAGGCGCATCTGCGTGGACCTTTCCGCTATGAGCGAGTCGGGTACGTGGCACGCCGCCAGACAAAGATGACGATGCAATGCTGACGGCAGTTCCCAGTCACTATTGAAGCGAACAAGGATGGCGTCAAGTTCTCGAGCAACGGCGACATCGGCAATGGCGCCGTCACCCTGCGCTCTCACCAGAACGTCGACAGCCCTCAGACCAACGTCGAGATTGCGCTCACCGAGCCCGTCACCCTGACCTTCTCCCTCAAGTACCTTGTCAACTTCTGCAAGGCCTCAGGCCTCTCCACTTCCGTCAAGCTCTGTCTCTCCAACGAGGTGCCCCTGCTCGTCGAGTACCCGCTCACCGGCGAGGGCGGCAGCTTCCTGCAATTTTACCTCGCGCCCAAGGTAAGCGACTCATTCCTCTTGCGCGCCATCGGAATCACCTGACTGACACGATGCAGATTGGCGACGAGGAGTAAAGCTGTAGCACGGTGAAGGATGATCTTACAGGCGGCGATGATGAGCAACTGAGCGAAACACTAAGCGGCCGGCGTTGCATGGGATTACGGATTACGGCAGGCGCGAAGCCTGCAGCACGTACACACTCTGGATCGGCAAAATAACCCACATTCTGGAGGTAGAAAGCGCGGTCTCTCCGGTGCTTGATGGCCAGAAGGGAGGAATGGCTTCGATGCACGGGATGGACACATGCGATATGGATGATAATGAAAAAAAAAACTCAATGTTCCCCCTACTGCAATGATCCCTTGAATGTGGTGAAACGTTTTGTCTATGAGTTCATGTATATACGAGCGTTTTCCGTCCCCTGAGAAGACAAACTTGTTGTGAATACAGTCCGGTTAGCCCTTCGTCGATGCGCCTGGTTCCAACTTCATCGGGTATCAAGACATGCCGCGTCTCCCGTAGACCCTCCTAGCTCGTCAATTCCAGTCCGACTTTCGGTTGTGTCTCCTCATATCGACCCGTCTTGTCGAAAGCAGGTTTAGGCAGCGCCGGGGTTGGGGTTCATCTAGTTTGGACGTCAGCATTCACCCGGGGGAGGGACGATTCGCCTGGGAGAAGGGAGGAACACCGCCATCGGACGTACCTTGCGCTTGCCCCCGGGGGCGAGGGTGACGTTGACGAAGCGGCGGGTGTACTGCTCACGCTTGTGGGCGCGGCCTTTGGGCGTCTTGGGGGTTTCGGCCTTCTCGACCTGCAGTGGGCGCGGTTAGCGGGCGGGCGGTCGAACAGAGGGGGGGGGGCGGGGCGGTGCTGTTCGAACCTTGGGGGTCTGCGACTTGACCTTGCCGGCGCGAGCGAGAGATCCGTGAACCTTGCCCATGATTGCGGTTGTGGTTTGGTGCTGTGTTGATCTGCTTGTGTCGTGATGCGCAAAGGGGGGGGGGTAGTGGCGATTGCGATTGATGGTTTGGCGACAGGCTGATGTGGATGAGTTGGGGATGCGATTGATGGAGGTGCACAGCGTCGAGTCTGCTGACTAACAGGTCGCTTGCTGTGGCGGCGGAAAGAAGAAGGCTCGAGGGGGCCGGATGATCTGCTTCGGGCTTAGTGCGGGGCAGGACTGGTTCGTGCGGTTTTTGGGTACGAGGACTTTCCACTGGGCGACAGGATGCGCTCTACGTCTGGAATCCCTGGACCAACCCTTGCTCCTGCCTTGCCTGCCTAGGTACACATCTAAAAGTTCACTTGACGTCCTACTTGTTTGGATGCTTAAGAGACCTTATGTAAAAGGGCGCCTGGGCCTTGTCATGACCACTGGCTCGTCCCCCTTTCATGATGGATCTATGCTTGATAACGACGTGAATGCATAACGGGACTACAGCATCTGCCTACAGTCAAGCATCGATGCACGCGGCAGAGCTTTACCCAGTTCAAATAGTTCCAAGTGCTTGGTGTAACAAGACTTTATCGCTTCACGTCACCTTCAGCGAAGAACTAAAAGCGGCATGCTCCTTTAGCCCTTTCGGGATTAGAGACGCCCGGCATTCACCCCTGCACCCCTGATGTAAGAGGGAAAAAAGTCGTCACTGGTCTTGGAGGGGCCTTGTTAGTCACGAACACTGACTCTTTCGCCCTCTATGTCATCTCTCTAGACTTATCTAATACGCCGCGTGACCATTTTTAGACATTGAAGCCTTCATCTTCAGACCCATTCACGTCTCATTCTGATTCATTGAATTAGTAGGATAGACACTGTACGTCTTCGTCAGCTCTGGAGCCGATAGACTCTCGTGCCACTACCTTTCAACCCCGCCTCATTCGCCATTTGCCAGCACAACACCACGGACGAAGAAATATCTCTATAGCTCACTCTACCAACTGAACTAATCGCTGGCTTGAGCATGGCCTCAGAACTCCCCATCCCAGAGACTCGTGTCCTGGCCGTGGCTAGTCACGTAAGCCCTCTTGCCCAGTGTGACGCCCAAGGGCACCATCATTAACAAAGCTCCAGGTCGTCTCGGGGTAAGTCCAGCCAGCTCAGAACCGTGGTCTCCCAGGCTTATACTCCCTAGAAATGTCGGCAACAAAATCGCAGTCTTCACGCTGCAGTCACTTGGCTGCGAAGTTGCCGCGCTCAACACTGTCCAGTTCAGTCCGTCCCCCCCCCCAGTCGTTCTGGCAGGTCTCTCCCGCCTAACCTTGCCCAGGCAACCACACAGGATACCGCCAATGGACTGGCACAAAAGTCACCGCCCAGGAGATTGAGTCGCTCTATGAGGGTCTCAAGAACTCGTTCCTCGACGACTTCGACATGATGCTCTCTGGGTACATCCCTGGCGCCGAGGCTGTCGCCGCCGTGGGGCGCATCGGCAAGGAGCTCAGGGAGAAGGCCAACGCCCAGTCTGCACCAGGCAGCTTCTTCTGGGTCCTTGACCCGGTCATGGGTGACAACGGCAAGCTCTACGTCGCGGAGGAGGTTGTGCCTGCGTACCAGGCCCTTGTCGAGTACGCTGACCTTGTACTGCCCAACCAGTTCGAGGCAGAGTAAGTCACGAACCCGAGGAGACGACGACTTGTGGATAACGCGCTAATACGACATCCTCCTAGGCTCCTTTCCGGAGTCAAGATCACCGACATGGACTCCCTCGAGAAGGCTATCCGGGTCCTCCATGAGCGCTACCGCATCCCTCACGTCGTCATCACCTCCGTCAGCATCCCCTCCGCCGACCAGCCGCCTGACCACCTCTCCGTCGTCGGCTCGTCCATGACCTCCGACGGCCAGCCGCGCCTCTTCAAGATCGTCTTCCCGGCCATCGACTGCTATTTTAGCGGCACGGGCGACATGTTCGCCGCGCTCATGACGGTGCGCATGCGCCAGGCCGTGTGGCAGAACAGCGCCGCCGCCGAGCTCCGCGCCGGCCGCGCCTGGGTCAGCGGCGACGACGTCGATGTGCTCGAGCTGCCGCTCGCGAGGGCTGCTGAGATGGTGCTCGCGAGCATGCACGAGGTGCTCACCAAGACGGCCGAGGGCATGGGGGCCGCGGGCCGGGGGGAGGCGGACGAGAAGAAGGCGCACCTCGTCAAGAGCCGGCAGCGCGGAGCTGAAGCTCGTCCGAAACCTGGCAAGCTTGAGGAGCGACAGTGCACTCAAGCCAAAAGATATAGAGATTGGGGAAGAGGGTCTGCATGATAATTGTTCTTAGAGTTAGACGTCTCCTACGCAGGGCATAGATGGAAAGGAGGCGGTGGCTCATTTTTTAATTGTTCATTATTCATCCATCTATAAATGCTTGTTCGATTGTGTGCCGTCTCTTTGTGTCGTGCTCCTGGCTCGCGGCTGCCTTCCATCCAGGGTAATTCTGTCCTTAGGCATTCTTGTCCAGGGGCGACGCCAGTGCTTCCGAAGCCGCCAGCGCCGCGGACGCTCTCCTCGAGCTCCTCGACCTCCACCACCTCGGGGGTGTAGATGCGCTCAATGATCAGCTGGGCGACGCGGTCACCCTCGGCCACCGCAAAGTCGGTGTCAGCGTGGTTAAACAGAAGGATCTTGACCTGGCCGCGGTAGTCGGCGTCAATGACGCCAGCGCCCGTGTCGATGAAGTGCTTGGAGGCGAGGCCAGAGCGGGGGGCGATGCGGCCGTCTAAGAAGTGGTTAGCTGCGAGCCAGCGAGGGATGCGGAGCGGATGGACGCACAGGTGCCCGCTGGTACAGAGATGGCGATGTCAGTGTCCACGAGAGCCTTGCCGCGGGCTGGAATGGAAGTGGCCTTGGAGGCATAGACATCGTAGCCGGCGGCGAAAGCAGAGCCGCGCGTGGGGAGGCGTGCAGCTGGGGAGAGCTTCTTGATGAGGAGAGCAGGGGCCTGGGAGGACATGGCGGGCTGCGTTGTCGCGGGTGTGACTGTGTGGGATGGGATGGAAGCGAGAGTCTCGTCGGTAGTCTTGACGCGTTTGGCTGGAGGAGATGTCGGAGGCGAGGTGATGTTCTCAGTAGTGGTCATGACGCCTGCGCAAGGTACGGGGTGAATGGTTGAGGTCGATGGAGGTGGGGTGGTTGACAAGCCTTGAGGAGAGGGGGAATAAGGGTCCACGATAATGGCGGTGACGCGACGCGACTCAACGAGACGCATTGGCCAATAGGGGATTCCAAGGGTGAACTTGCATCATCGGGCACACATCACACATCACGTGGGATGGGATCTCGTTGTGCTCGTTATGCTCCTCACATTCCTGTACTCTATTCCAAGATCACCAAAATGCCCTGCCGTACCGAAACACCACCCCGACACCACCCTAGTCACTACCTAGGTACTATACCCGTTTCTTGACATTGGCCTGGATTTCGACCGCTCCGAAGCATGCGCCTGTTAGCGCCACTGGAAAGGACTCAATCGCATCAAACGTACCAATTGCTCAATCCATCAGATAATGGAAGTCTCGATTATCAACTAGGACCCCATCACAGTGTCTGTATGACCAGGCGCTGTTGATCGGAGCTCGAACCAGGCTGAGTGCAAAATGGCCGCACTTTTGGCCGTGATCAGACATGTCACCAACAGTCCAGCAGTAGTCTGCCAGCCGAGCACTTGATAAAGTCGGGGATGATGGTATCATCTCCGTTATGACCAACTCTCTCTGCATTATGACGATAAGCAGCCAGCGTATCCCTCGGCTCGGTGATGCTATCCATTCCGGTGCCCTCTGCCCAGTTTTCTGCCCAGTTCAACCACAAACGACATGGATTGCAGAACCGAGAAGAAAGAACATCGCCTGAGCAGCCTTGTAATGACGACCAATGTTGATACGGCCATCAAAGAGGCTGAGTCGCCAAAGAAAGAAATCCCTTCTACTGCGAATTACGGGGTTTTCGTGTTTAGAGCGTGGCAGACGAGGACGGCGGCAACCGTGTGACCAAAAGCATGCACATTTCACATTATACTGGGAGCAGTCGAGACCGCGAGCCCTTCTACTCTAATTACCACGCAAGCCCTATCCAACGTCCGGTGCTCTTGGGCAGACTGAACGGCCTCAATGACATGCTGCCAGGAATCTTAAACCAGCGTCTGCAGGTGCAAATGTTTACATATTGCCAGTATTCTCACGAACGCTGTTCTCAAAGTATCGCTGGTCTTCGCCGTCTGGCTCGGGAGTGCCACGACAGCCGCGATCTGGCCACAGGGTTGGCAAAAGGGTGTTGCAGTCGAGTGCGAACTCGGATTCAAACTCAGACACCGATGTCTATCAGTCCACGCAACAAGAGCCGTGCAGACCTGCCAAGGAGCAACGTTGGACTCAGCAAAGATACGTCAGGTACCGCTAGCAGAATGGAGAGACACCTCGAAGCCATGGCGGAGCTTAAATATAGGAGCGCAACATGAGCACCGTCGTCCGACTTCTGCGCAAGATTGATGAGTCTATCAAAAGCAGAAAACTCTTCGGCAATGTTTACAGTTGCGGCTTCACTTGCTCTCTTGAGGGTCTCTGCCGGCGCCGGAAGCTCTCGAGCGATCCGCATACGCACAAATATGGGGGCAATGACTGCGCATCAACAAACGGCTCTGATGTTTTTTACCATCGACTTCCTCACTCTCTACGCTACTCACGGGCGAGCCCTTGACTTCAACGCAAAGTGCACGCCCATAAAGGCATGCATTCCGCGCAGTCCGTGCCCGTCAGGAGGAACTCAAAGCTCTGGATCACATCGCCAGTAAACAGAACGTTTGCCTCGAAATTTTCCGTCGATTGTTCAGCCCAGTATCGTTTCGCGTTATGAACAAGGCAAGGCAAACGCGTTTTCAACTTGAAGAGGAGGTGCTGCTCGCCACCAAGATGCAGCGAGTAAACGAGCAAAGAGCTCTTGTAGGCCATGATATTTCGGGCAGCGGACCTGCAATCCAGAGTCAAAGAGAATACTGGGGTGTTGGACGAGGGGCATGGACGGTCCATCCGGGTACTCCCTGTGGTCACCATGCCGTTCTTGCTGTTATAAGTCCCTCCTATCCCTCTGTGGCTTCATCGTGATATGTTCGCAAAGAAACTGTGGCATTGCTGCTAATGAATTTTGTGCTTCAATAGATCATTCATCACCAGTCTCTTCAGCATGAACACTTCTGATATCCGCGAACTAGGACACGCCTCATGAATCTAATGGACGATTTCAATGCCCTTGAATTCCATGGTATTGTGCTCTGCCTATCATTACGCTTTTAATCTAGCGGACTTCACCACGTGGGCGTCGAGGTAGCCGTGGCTGTCACACGGGGTGGTAGACCTGAATGATACGCCGTCGAATGCCCGTCAAGCTCACTGGGAGGGTCACGGCGAAGATCAGCCACTCCCCGTATGTGATTGCTTGCGACGAAAGTGACATGGCCGGAAGATAGGCCGGAGAAACACAGGACTTGTAGAGATGGTCAGGGTCCGGGAAGGTCAAGATCGTTGGGATTTCCGAGCAGAAATTTCGCTTAATCTTGACGGCCGGTACAAGTCAGTAGCGATGCGCTGAGTCTCTTCCGACAAGTCGCCCGAACAAGGCAGAAGGGACAGCGCCAGAGTTTTGGTCAGTAGCATCACCTCACCTCAATGAATGGCGACATAGTATGTGCCGGACAAGTCATCGGAAGCTTGAGAGTCTTGGGTCAGTAGATGCGACTTGCGTGAATGATTGACCCTCACTCACCGCAGCAATAGACTAATGTCTAACGCTTGTTCCTGGCGTCCCACATCACAGTATCGTATCACCCATGCGTCCTCTTTGCGTCTGCGACGTGCTCACTGCGATTCACACGGAGGCCCCTTTGAGTCTTGGCTTCGCAACAAAAACATCGGAACGCTCAGGAGAACGTGTTTGATATGCCCTGAGAATGGCCTCACATGCACTGCCAGGCCACACGAGAAGTAGAAAAATGTGGCGTTCTCTGTGAGGAGCAGATCTACACCCAGTGTGTGCCTCATGGGCCCATGGGCGCTCTGGGGCCCCCGGAACAGGCCAACGTGCTGCGCCGATTCGATATTTGGTCGAGTCAGCGAATCACATTACACGCGAGTCGCCAATGCCGCCCTCAGCCTGCATAAACAATTCACTATGGAGCGTTTCGAGAACCGAATCTGGGTTCACCTGGCCAATAGAGGAGATTCTTCGCCATGGGAGAACAGTTAGGCGCATCGCGTCCGCGAGTGACAGTTGAATCCGCCTTGTTGGCACGTTTGGCGCGTCGGGCCCTCCCGTCCGACCGTTCGATTATGATCATTTATATCCACGCATTGGCAGTTCCTCGGAGGCTTCAGTGGCTCAATTGAATCACTTCACACACAGCATCGGCGAACTGAGTGATACAATGTCTTCAGATGAGCAAACCAAGATCTGTCTCGGCGTGGCCGTCGACCACCGAATCCAGCGGCTCTGCAAAACCACTCCTCACGGCCTTGCAGGGGAGTCCGATCACGTTGCAAGTATCAAGGAGGAAGGGCGGGCGTTGAAGCGACCTCGCGAGGAAGTTGCCGTCACCGCAGAGCTCGCAGGTCCGGCCTACAAAGGCGGTATCGCCGTCATGCTGCAGCAGCCTCGAAAAACCCACCCCTACGACAAGGGCATTGACGCTGTCATCGAGGACTGCGAGAGTCTGCTAGCCCTCTACGAGGTCTTTGATGTGGCGTCCCGCGGCTCCCTCGACATTCGAACCAATGTCTCCGTCGTCGACTTGCTGCCCTTCGTC